CAAACAAACAAACAAAACCAAAAAATTGGCTGGAGAAATGGTTCAGTGCTTAAGAGCACTGGCTGCTCTTCCGAGGACCAGGTTCAATTCCCAGCACCCACACGGCAGCTCATAACTGTCTGTGACTCCAGTCCAGAGGATCTGACTGCCTCACATAGATATACAGGCAAGCAAAACACAAATGCACATAAATTAAAATACATACACAGACATGCTCCCTTTAATTTACTGAGCCTCGTTTCCTGGCTGAAAGAGTCTTGAGGGACAGATATCCCAGGTATATTTGAAAAGATTATTTTTTCACAGGCATGACAGCTAGGTCAAGTTGGCTGATATTGTTTAAGTCTTATATACCTTTGACAATATTTTGACAGAGTTCAAATTAATCATTACAAGTAGAGTATTATTTCTTACTATTGTTGAACTGTCTATTTCTCCTTTTAATTCTGTTCATTTTTCTTCCCTGTATCTTGGGCCTCCATTGTTAGGTAACTAATTCAAATTGCTATTATCTTCCCGAGAAATACATTTTTGTCATTAAGAAACATTTTAGAAAAATAACAGGAGACAGAACACTCAGAGTTGAGTGTGGTTTTGAGGTACACCGTGTCTTTCTGGAGGAGTGTTGTCTTATATCCACTCTAGAAACGTTTGCCAAGACTGTTTATATGCCAAGCACATGAAAAAGTGTTTTATTATAAAATGGTAGACTAAGAAAATATTTTTCTGTGTTTCTCAAACCCCATTCCAAATGGCAGTAAAGAAACACACCAAGTAATGAGATTTCCAGGGACGGGAAAGAGGACAAAATAGGGTAGTAGTGAAATCAATGATAGTACAGTTAGCGAAGGAGGAGGTTATGATTGAGGTGGGAATTAATCCCTTTGTTGGAGCCCAAGAGAAGTCCAAACTCAGAGCTGCCCTATGCCAAGGCAGGAGCAGGAGAACAGAGAAGAGAGCGATTACAGGACCGCTCACACACTAGCTCCGGCCATTACAGGACCGCTCACACACTAGCTCCGGCCATTACGGGACCGCTCACACACTAGCTCCGGCCATTACAGGACCGCTCACACACTAGCTCCGGCGATTACAGGACCGCTCACACACTAGCTCCGGCCATTACAGGACCGCTCACACACTAGCTCCGGCGATTACAGGACCGCTCACACACTAGCTCCGGCCATTACAGGACCGCTCACACACTAGCTCCGGCCATTACGGGACCGCTCACACACTAGCTCCGGCCATTACAGGACCGCTCACACACTAGCTCCGGCCATTACAGGACCGCTCACACACTAGCTCCGGCCATTACAGGACCGCTCACACACTAGCTCCGGCGATTACAGGACCGCTCACACACTAGCTCCGGCCATTACAGGACCGCTCACACACTAGCTCCGGCGATTACAGGACCGCTCACACACTAGCTCCGGCCATTACAGGACCGCTCACACACTAGCTCCGGCCATTACAGGACCGCTCACACACTAGCTCCGGCGATTACAGGACCGCTCACACACTAGCTCCGGCCATTACAGGACCGCTCACACACTAGCTCCGGCCATTACGGGACCGCTCACACACTAGCTCCGGCCATTACAGGACCGCTCACACACTAGCTCCGGCGATTACAGGACCGCTCACACACTAGCTCCGGCGATTACAGGACCGCTCACACACTAGCTCCGGCGATTACAGGACCGCTCACACACTAGCTCCGGCCATTACAGGACCGCTCACACACTAGCTCCGGCGATTACAGGACCGCTCACACACTAGCTCCGGCCATTACAGGACCGCTCACACACTAGCTCCGGCGATTACGGGACCGCTCACACACTAGCTCCGGCGATTACGGGACCGCTCACACACTAGCTCTAGCAGTGGGCTTGCCCATCTCTTCTAGAGCTTGCATATGACCTGAGCTGATATTACCAACTACTCAAAGAAAAGAAAGAAATCTGACAGAAAGATTGAGGACTCAAGAGTAGGTAACAAGCAAACACAATCCCTGCTTTGGTGAAGTGTGAGTGTACTGTGTAGCAATTTCCTCTGAGATAAGCCTCCATTTGGGAGGGAAGCTCATTAAGACACAGGGTGTTTCTAAAAGGAGTTTAAACATTCCATCTGCTAGAGAAGTTAAACTTTAAACTCAGGAAGCAAACAACCCAAAGCTTCCAGAAGTCCCTGAAATGGATCAGATACACTAGCGCCCCCCACCTCAGCGCCCCCAGCTATCATATAAAAGCTGTAAGAACTTGCTGAGAGACACTCAGCCAAGCCACCTAAAAGAGACAGAGTGATAAGCTGAGCTGCATGGAAGCAGCTGCCAAGAGCTCAGACCAAATGGCCGTCTGGAAAGCACACACTGCAACCTGTCAAGCTCTCTCTGAGCTATGTAGTGCAGTCCACATTCCCAGCTCTTGTGAGCTGTCACCCATGCCAGGGTAGGCTTGGTAATGCAGCTGACTTTGAGTCATTTCTGCTCCTCTAACTCCTCACCCATAGTCCTGAAGAAACTCCAGTGAAACTCACTGGTTCATCAAGCTAAACTCTGGTGGCACCTTACTTTGGTCTGTCACTGGTTCACTATCGGGGTGGTTCACTATCGGGGTGAGCAGATGTTTGTTCATGTCTCCCCAGGAGTAGTGTAACTAACTGAGAAGCTAGGAGCATAGATATATGCCTACAAGCCTGGCTTACTTTTTAATGTCTGAACCATTGGCGGTTTTTCTGCAAAACATGGGTATCCTTAGGTATAATTCAATGATTTATAACTTATTGGGAAGGTAAAATTTAGCTTTAAATTTCTGGATGACTGGTAGTCAGAAGGCAGGAACCTCATATACTGATGCTCAACCTAATGCCAATAAATCACAGCTCGCTTATTAAGCAGAAGTGCTGAATATATATGTGGGTGCATGCATACACACTTGGAGGGGACCAGAGGTTGATGCTGGGTGTCTTTATCTTGATTATCTTGATTCTGAGACAGAGTCTCATTAAATCTAGAGCATGCCAATTTAGCTAGCCTGGCTCACCAGAGAACCCAAGGGATCTTCTTGTCTTTGCCTCCCCAGACCTGGGATTACCAGGGTGTGTTGCTATCTCTAGACCTGAATTTTACTTATGTTCTGGGGAATGACCATAGGTTCTCATGTTTGTGTGGCAAGCACTTTAATGATTGAACCATCTCATTAGACCCAAAAAGGTTGATAACCTGGAATCTAAGGCTACTATAGCAGCCACAAATGGCCGGGGGTAGGTGCTACCAGAAGTTATAATTTATGAACTTCTCTCAAGTTATTAAAAACTGTGTGTACGCCTATTTTATGAGAGGAAATTCTCAATGAGGCCTAACAGTCAAGGGGTCACAAAGTGCTGTTTACATTATATAAAAACCTGACATTTTCTAATGGCTTTGAAACACAGTATGAAGCCATCTACTGAATTTTTATAGCATGGTAAAGTCACAGAACTAAAGAGATATTATGAACCTAAAACATGAATTAAAAAAAAGTCTTCAATTCCAGGTTAAGTTAAATTTGCTCATGAAATATCATAAAGCAATCCAATGGCTTACTAGCATATAATAAATAATTAGCATAGCTTATGCATTATGTATCATACAATTTTGATGACAATCCTAAATCATTTTAAATGCTTTGGGAAAATTTCTGTTCAGAGGAGGCCAAAGGAAAATAATTATTTATTCATCTTATTATGAATATATCAAGCAATAAGCTGGGCATCAGAAAGAACACAGTATTCAGTTCTTTAGACGGAGTTCAAAGGTGTTGGGTTGGTGGCACACACCTATAATTCCAAGACTCAGGAGACACAAGCAGATGGATCTCTTCTGAGTCCGAGGCCAGCCAGGGCTATACAGAGAAATCCTGTCTGAAAACCCCCCACCCCCGCCAAAAAGAAAAGAAGTACAAAGGCTATTGGGAAGGACAGACTTGTAAAAATAGATTATACAGTGAGTAAATGACAACTTGAACTTCCCGGAGAAGGAAAAGTTAAAGAATAGTTCCAAGAGGAACTGATATATAAGCCAGAGTAGCTTATCAATATCCCACCAAGAGCTGAGTATCAGACCGAGAACTGAGGACTATGAGGGACATTTCAAGAGGCAGGAAATATTGACAATGCTATGAATGGAGTTTGCCCATGTGTTGGGTGGGGTGGGCAAAGGTCTAGCATAGAAGTACTTAATACAACTGATGAATTTGTATGTTTCTCTGAATGTAAAAAACCATTACTACTGAAGGTTTGTGAAGGTGTCACTTGAATAAAGGATGTTTTAAGTTTGGAAACCATGCAGGAGATGAACTAATAGAAGAAAGGAGAATTTTAAACTTTTTTTTTTTTTTTTTTTTTTTTAAAGCTGGCCTGGTGCATGCCTTTAATCCCAGCACTCAGGAGATAGAAGTAGGTGGGATCTGAGTTCAAGGACAGACTTGACTTTAGAGTGAGTTCCAAGACAGCCAGGGCCCAGTCTTCAAAACAAAAAAGTACACTACTATGCCCAGCTCAGGGTCAGTTTTACACACACACACACACACACACACACACACACACACGCACGCACACACGCACAGGGAGAGGGAGCACTAGAGCATATATGTTTGCATGTATGTGGGGAGGTGCGTGTGGAGGCCTGAAATTGATGCTTGGTGTCCTCCGTGGTTGCTCTCTACTTTACCAAGGCAGGGTCTCCTACTGAAGCTGGAACATTTGGCTAGCCTAGCTATCAGCCTGTTCTGGGGAACTCTCTTCCCTGCTTCCCCAGCACTGGGATTATGGAAGGGCTCCTAAGCCCACTTGACTTTGAAGTGTGCATTTAATCTGAACTCTATCACGATTATGTTCACTGAGCGATCTCCCGAGACCCTGGAATGTATTTTTAAAAAACAATTCATAACTTAAGGTGGCACCTCGTGATTTGGCAGGCTTGCTGCTTACTAGCTTGCAAACTGGTTGTTGCTTACCTGTAAGAGAGAGATTAGTCACTGCAGCGCTGGTTAAGGGAAGGACAGGGTTGACTGTGAGGGGAGTTGCTGTACTGCTTGTCACAAGGCTTGGAGTGGTTGCCACCTAGAGGTCAGAGAAGAAAAAAAATGTACGTAACATAATCAGAACTTGAATGGTCCCTAACTTTCAATAATGTTGAGTCAGACAGGCTCTACATCAGCTAGAAATAGTATAATTGTCAACATTACTTAAATAAGAGAACTATCTGATAGCCTCAGTGCTTATTATTGCTTTTACTTTTGATTCTGTGGATGCATGTTTGTCTTGTCTTTATTTTTAAATAAATAGTACAGAATGTGCAGCAGACTCTTTTGTTTGTTTTTTCAGACAGGGTTTCTCTGCATAGCTCCTGCTGTCGTGGAACTCACTCTGTAGATCAGGCTGGCCTTGAACTCCGAGATCCACCTGCCTCTGCCTCCTAAGTGCTGGGATTTAAGGTGTGCACCACCATTCAATTATTTTTTTTTAAAGACAATCTTATGGTGGGGTGTAGTGGCAAATACTTTTAATCCCAGTACTCAGGAGGCAGAGGCAGGCACATCTCTCAGTCCAGCCTAGTCTACAAAGTGAGTTCCAGGACAGCCAGGGCTGTTACACAGAGAAATCCTGTCTCAAAAAACTGAAAAACAAACAAAAAACCAAACAAGGGACGACTATATCACACCCACTCTACTTCTTCTTCTTCTTTTTTTTTTTTTTTTGATACAGGGTTTCTCTGTGTAGCCTTGCGCCTTTCCTAGAACTCGTTTTGGAGACCAGTCCTGCCTCTGCCTCCTGAGTGCTGGGATTAAAGGCGTGTGCCACCCCCACCTGGCTGTGAAGCAGGTTTTTAAAATAACTTTGCATTTCTTTTTGAAATATTATGATAAGCATCCTATGGTTTTGTAAGACACTGCCTTCTTCCTATGACAGCTAAGCCTGAAAACAAAATAGTCACCTACACATAACAAAACTGTTACCTAATGACTATAATTTTTGTAACTACTACATCATATTTATGATTAAAGCCTTACTATTCATAACCCACAAGTTTCACTTAATAAATAATGCTGACCTTAGTTTTAAAACACTGTGAAGTCAGGCGTGGTGGCACACACCTTTAAATTCTAGCACTTGGGAAGCAGAGGCAGGCAGATCTCTCTGAGTTCCAGGCTAATCTGGTCTACACGGTGAGTTTCAGGTCAGCCAAAGATATACAGAGAAACCCTGTCTCAAAACCCAAGGGGGGGAGGAGGCATGTGACATAATATTAAAATAAAATAAAAGCAGATTAACAACAACAGAAGGAACAAAAATGGAAACTCAACAATCTGTCCATCTTTTGAAGCTTGTCTGGTATCATCTGGCAGTGGTCTACAATTATCCTAACAGGAAGAAAAAGTCAAAGAGGGAGTCCTGTGACCATGGCATGTTTCTTCCATCTAGGAATAATGTTCTAATGTAAATGGAAGAAGGGACTCAATAAGGTTCTACATGAAAGGCTGAGCTACTGTCTGAGAGTGAAGATTTGAGATGACTATTCATTGACTATTCATACCTGGGAATTTACTATTACTTACTTATGTAAGTTTACTAAAATGGGCTTTGGGACTGAACAGGAAGGAACAAAACATTTTTTTCTCTAGATAATTGGAAATCAGGAGTAAATCTACCATTATAGTTTCAGTGTAACTTTATTAGCTACAGAAAAAATTGCAAAGAAACAGAAAAGAATTCAAATTATTTACTTCTAAAAATAAAGGAAATCATTAAGTTCTTGTGAAATGAGAAATTTCATAATTTTGGAAATATTTAAAGTATACATGTTATATATTTATTCAACATGTATGCCACACACACATACACACACATAACTCCATAACTGTTATAGTTTGAATCATGATGGCTCCCATAGGTTCCTGTGTTTGAATTCTTGGTCCCCAGTTGGTGGAACTGTTGGGAAGGATTAGAAGGTGTGTCACTGGGCTGGGCTTTGAGGATTCAAAAGCTCATTCTATTAGCAGTCTCTCTCTACCTCCTACTTGAGGATCAAAATGTGAGCTCTCCGCTGTTCCTATGCTCCACCATCATGGACCCACCCTCTGAAACTGTAAGCTGAAATGAAATCTTTTCTTTTATAAGTTGTCATGGTCATTCATGGTATCTTATCACAGTAATAGAAAAGTAACTGAGACAAGTGTTATGAAATGAATTGACTTAATAGGCCATTTGTAAGACTAAAAATTAGCCCTTGAAGAGCTTGTCTCTTCCACATCCATTCTTACCAGTGAGGTTGGGCTGGGGAAAATTGCTTTGATAGGTGAGCTGCTGGTCCCACCACTGCTTGGTGGGTTGATTCTTTTCTCCTTCTGGCGGCGGTTACAAAACCAAACACGAATCACCTCCTTTTCCATATTAAGCTGTTCAGCAATCAAGGTGATATCTTCCGAGGTAGGCTTTTGATTCTAAGAGAGGGAAAAAAAAGCCTTTTTTTTGAATTTCAATTTATGTATTTGCCACATTGGAGACTGAATCCAGGAATAAGTGCTCTACATTTGAATTATATCCTAGCCCTGGAATATCTTTTCTTTCTTCTTCTTTTTTTTTTTTTTTTGAGACAGGGTTTCTCTGTGTAGCTCTGGCTGTCTTGGAACTCACTCTGTAGACCAGGCTGGCCTTGAACTCAGAGATCTGCCTGCTTCTGCCTCCCCAGTGATGGGATTAAAGACGTACATGTATGTGTGTGAGGGTTGTGCCTGCATTTTTGTGCAGTGGCCTCGGAGGACAGAAGACAGTGTTGACTCTCCAGGACCTGGAGTGACAGATGGGTGAGAGATGCTATGTGGGTATTAGGAATCAAACCTGGATCTTATGTAGACTAGGCTGATCTCAAATTTACAGAGCTCCACCTACCTCTGCTCCCAGGTGCTGGGATTAAAATGCCTCATGCCTGGCTAAGGTCTATTAATGTTAACAAAATAATACAAACTTACTATTACTAGAAATGTACGAGTTTCTTGGTGTTTTATAGATACTACCTAACTTGGACCTCATACTATGCTTCTGAGGCAGGAAAGGAAGGCAATTTCACAGGTGCAGCAACTTAATCTTGAAATCAAGTGAAGTGCCCCACCACATCTTTAACAAGACGCAAAGCCAATCCTGAATCAATGTTTCTTTAAGTAAACACAATTCTTTCTGAATTAGAAGTCAATTTTTTGTTGTTGGAAGTCTTTTTTTTTTTTTTTTAAAGCCAAATATCTCTTGAATTAACTTGAACTACATAAAAGGACATTCAAAGTCTCTAGTGTTGTGCCCCTAAAATACCATTCTAGGCATTAAAGACACTAAAATTCAGCCACAAGTGTTTCTCTTCTGGAACAGGTATGGTTTCCTCTAGAGGTCTATGATCATGAAGCTGCTCTGTCTGAGGTACTTTTCTCCCACCTTTCCCAGTCTGTAGGATTAATTCCTATGCTCCCTACCAATTTGGAACCAAGGTCTCTCTTGAGTCCTGCAGTATTCAAGTGGCAGTATTCTAGCATCTTACTTCCCGTGTTCAAATGCCCAACAGGGTGGAGGAAGATAAGGCTGTGTTTTACTATGTACAGTCCCTAGCAGTAGTACTGGTGATGCACACTGAGCTCACTGACCTCCATGAAACTCTTCTCTAAGGCCACACGGATGTTGGTCTCTATGCTGGTGCGTTTTTTCCTCCTACGATTCAAGCCCTCAGCCCCCAACCCTGGGGAATTCAGGGCACTTGGGCTAGATGCTGTAGAATCAGATGAGAGGTTCTCTATAAAAGAAAATATAGGGAAAAAAAAGCTGAGCTTAAGGATTCACATACAGAAAACATAGAAACAATAAAACTGGCAAAATACTGAAAGCTTGATGTGTGGGATTTTTAATGTAATCTCCATTGAAGCATTGTTCACTACCATCGATTTTCTACTGCCCTTATTAGTATTCTTTGTTCCAGTCACCATTCATTTTTTATTTGTTTCTGAGGATACAGAGATTCTATTTTTCACTTCTTTTTTTTTTTTTTCTTTTCCAGAACTGAGGACCAAACCCAGGGCCTTGTGCTTGCTAGGCAAGCACTCTACCACTGAGCTAAATCCCCAACCCCCTATTTTTCACTTCTATTTCCCTTAGTTCTTTTGTTTATAAGCTCCAAGGATAAAAAGGAAGAAAATTTCTTGGAAATCACTGGATTTTTAATGCTCAATTTAGAGATGATTTCTCAGTTTCTCAGCATAATAATAGTAGGGAGTGGGTACTTGTAACTTCTTTAAGGACAAGATGGTATACTTTAACAGTTGAACAAGTCTGGGCATGTTACAGTGGATTTCTTTCTACTCCATGTAAATTAAGATGGAGCAGATCAGTGGTTCTTGCCTGTGACGGCAAAAAAGACAACAGATAGCTAAACTTCATCCCCAGCTACTGAATCAATAGTTAGAGGTGTGGGTATGTCTCAAGTTCTTCTTTCCCAAAGCCTAATTTTTGTTTCTATCTACAATGGAAACAACATGGTTAGACACCCTTGTGGTTCCTTTTAAAAAAGCTCCCAAAGTCTATGATTTTGTGGCTCAAAATTCAAAATTTCTGAAAGGATAGCTCAAAAGAAAATAAATAATTCAAGACCAGAAGCCTAACTTTTTTTTAATGAAAGGTGGCCATTTTTAACAAAAGTAGAAATATTACCAGGAGCAAATTCTATAGCAATCTATCAAGGAAGAAGTAATCTATCTGTTCTTCAAGATTATACCCACAGGCCTTCTTATCCTCATCCTCAAACACTGTATGTCCATCCCTAACCCTGGCTCAAATACAGAAACATTGCAAGGCTATAATTACTGCTGGTTATTTATACTGTAATTACTGGAATATTAAGATGAAATATCTCTCTGACTTACATAATCATAATGTATAAAAGTCTCATAGGATTAGCGGCTCCAACATTCTGTTTTATCAGCAATATAGTAAGACCTTAGTTCAAAGAATAACCCTCCTGTAAAACCCCATGGACAAAGAAGAAATTTCGTAGTATTGTCACTGACCTGCATCATTTAGCCACTTCTCTAAAAGTGGCTTTAACTTGCACATGTTCTTAAAGCTGAGGTTCAAGGCTTCAAAGCGAGAGATGGTGGTTTGGCTGAAGTCATTTCCATATAATTTCCCCATAGCGAGCCCAACATCACCCTGAACAATACAGAACAGAAATGGGGAGAAAGGAAAAGAGATTTATGTCATTAATGTTTCCAACTTCTACTCCGAAAGGCTACTCCAATAACTGCTGCTCCAGGAAAACAATCTTCTATTTACTCCATTTTCCCACCAACTCTACCTCCAAGCAGAGTCCCAGATTGTAGGGAGAGCTCAGCAGGTCCTTGATCATAGAAGCCTTCAATATTACCTCATGTGCTTTCTATTTTGAGTTTCTTCTTGTTACCTTATACAGTTATAATCACCATACCAAAACTTCTAAGTCTTCAAAGTTCTGATATACTAATACCCCTCCATTAATGCAACCAAAATGATCTGAATACTCTTTAAAATCTACCTGCATCACTTATAGGGATTAGATGTTTAGACAGCCCAGCAAGTTATTCTTATTCTTGCATGTTTATTTAATTATTTTTTTATTTAATGTGTATGTGGCTTCAAGAGTGCCATGGTGCCGATGTGGAGGTCAGAGGACAATTCCAGGGTGTTGGCTCTCTCCTTCTTCCATGTAGGTCCTGGGGATTGAGCCCAGATCATCAGGCTTAGTGGCAACTGCCCCTAAACCAGGAATTTTTGAACCAACCAAATTTCAAACAAATCATTTTAAAACTTGGAAATAACCCTTCATTCTTTATAGTTTTCCTCATAAGTATTTCTGGAAGCTGTGAAAAAAAAATCTATTTTCACCCTTAGTTTAGATTTCAAAGTTGGTCCCCAAACCAGGCATTCTAAGAGACCACGTTTGTAGCCATTATAGAGATAGAAATTCACAGTAGAGAAGTTTGACCCATTTAGTCAAACCTTCACGGGCACTGGAAACTTGGTAACCTTATTGAAACAGAACAATGATCCTCTGAATATATTACAAAAGATGCCTTTCTCCACGAGCCTATCACCTTTGAAATGTACACAGTGCTTTTCTTCCAGCTGGATCTCTCTTGTTCTAGTTTGAAAAAGATGTATCTTCATAGTTATTTTACAGATACCAGGAGGAGCTCATGGAGTTTAAATGGCTCACACACCCGTTTCAACTAGATTAGTGATAGGGCACAAAAGTATAGCATTTCTCATTCAAAATACACAAAGCTAACTCTGCTGTGAGTCAACTCTCAACAAACCTGGCAACATTATTTTTAATTCATTACTTTTAGACTTTCATTTATTTTATTTTATGTGTATGAATGTTTTGCCTATATGTATACATATACAACACATGTGCAATGCCCACAGGATCAGAAGAGGGCATCACATTCCCTGGAACTAGAGTTACAGATCATTGTGAGCCATCATAAAGAAGCTGGGAACTGAACCAGGTCCTCTGCAAGAACAGCAGTGCTCTTAACCAATGAGCCATCTCTCTAGCACCAATCTGTTGAGACAGCGACTGACTTTGAATTTGTGATCTTCCTGCCCGTTTCTCAAACGCCAGGATTCTAAACTGGTGCTATTTTGCCCTGCTTTAGGAACACAATTGAGTTAGGATTATCTGAGTTCTTTTAATCCCCTAAATCCATATTTTTGGGATCAGATTGTCTATTATATGTGGAGTGAAAGAAAAGATGCATTAAAAAGCATGTAAGACTGGTTTTGTTCATTTTAATTTATTATTATAATTATTTAAATAGAGGTCTCATGTAGCCCAGAATGGTCTCAAATTTGTTATTTAGCTGTGACTGGTCATGAACTCCTGATCCTCTGGCTTCTCAAGTGCTGAGATTATAAGCATGTGCCAAGATGCCAACTTTCACTAAGAAGTTTAATACAGGATAAATGTAGAACTATAAAATAAAATGAAGTATACTGAATATTTAACCTCAAGAGATATATGCACCATGTCTCCCATTAGTCACCACTCATAAGTGACTGCTTAAATTTCAATTGCAGAAAAGCAACTAAATGAACATTTACCTTCTCAGCACCACTACCCTTTCAGGCACTCAGGAGCCACTAGTGGGTAGTGGTGATGGTACTGGGCAACACAAATACAAAAAAAATTCCCATCAATGTAGGTTTTGAATACTCTCTCTTTAACTAGAACTGAAGTGGATTATTTATTAATTTCCTTCTAATTACAGTAAAACTTAGAGAGCCAAGGTAGAATGAAGAGGAATAGAAATACTATTATATTTTTATACAAATGTATCTAAAGATATGGATAGGTGAATTGATCCTCACCTATGTCTTTACCATTGTCACTCCATTCAGTGACTGAAACTTCACACAGTGCCCACTACATGTCAAGGACACAACTCATACTTTACAAGCCACATATTTTTATCTTCATGATTTTATTTGTTTTGATTATAGCTTTCCACAAATCTAGGACTAAATAAAACATGGAATTTTTTGAATACATGACATCAAGTGGCAATAAATGTTTTCTGACACTGTAACTGCACAATTCACTAAATATTTTCACAAATGCCTATAATATCTTACTCCGAAAACTAATAATTTTGATAAGTAATGATAAAGAAAATGTTTATTAAAAAACCACATTATTTTAAGTTTAAGAAACAATAACATGGGGCTGGGCTGGGCAGAAGGCTCAGTCAGAAGAGTGCTTGCTACACAAGGATAAACAAATTTGGGTCCCCATCACCTACGTAAAAAGCAGATGATGTGCCTGAAATCCCGGCACTCAAGATCTCAGCAAATACACAGATCTAGAGCTCACTGGCCAGCCAGCATAGTTAAATTGTAAGATCCTGTCTCAAATAATAAAGTGGAGCATGATGGAGGAAGACACTCAACATTACCTCTGGCCTCTGTGGGCATGCATAGCCCCAGTCGCCCCAATCACCAATGACTTAAATTGTCAGCTATAAATAAGCTGTATTACCAATCCACTAGAACAATGGCAGTAAAAAGCAAATTCACTTAATGGAGATTTGTAATACAATTTCACTAAATTTAGGATTATTTAAAACAATAAAAAGCAATAGATTCTGTAGTGGTTTGAAATATTTGAATACTTAGGCCCCAGTTGGTGGAACTGTTTGGGAAGGATTAGGAGGTGTGGCTGTTGAGATTTCAAAAGCCCATGCCATTCCCAGTTAATTCCTTCTGCCTCCTGGTTGTGTCTCAGGATGTGAGCTCTTAGATATTGGTCTACCACCATGCCTGTCTATTGACATGATCCCCACCATGATGGTAAATGACTTACATTTTGGAACTATAAGCCCCAATAAACTTTTTCTATAAGTTTCCCTAGTCATGATGTCTCTTCACAGCAATAGAAAGCAACAATAAAGTTGGTACCAGGATGTGGGCTACTGATATGACAGGACTAACCATGTTGGTTTTTTGGAGGCATGTGCAAGACATTAGGACTGTGGATTAGGAGTTTGGAAGAAAATAGTGGTTAAGAGCCAAGTGGGCTATGGAGGCCCAGCTCAAGAGGTTTTAGAAGGGAACAATATTAGCAATTGGGCTATAGGTAATTCTTGTGATATTTTGGCAAAGGATGTGGCTGCTTTTTACCCTTGTTCTAAAAACCTGCCCGAGGTTAAATTGAGGAGTTTTAGACTGATTTCATAGGCAGAGGAGATTTCAAAATACCCTGATATTGACTCTGTCACTTGGTTATTAGTGATCATTCTTATATAGATCTACAATGACAAAGAAGAAGCAGAGCAAAAAGAAATAAAAAATGTACAGTTTGAGGAGAAAAAGAGCACCAAGAAATTCAATGCTGGAGGAAAGGTTTGTGATGAAAAAGATAAGGAAAAATGGAATAAAGGGAGTACCCTTAGAAAAAGACCCCAACTAGCTAAGCCTACAAATTGTGAAAAGAAAAAGCTTAAGGAATTAATCTGTTCCTAAGGAGTAACAACAAATCAAAGTTTATGTAAATGTAACTCAAGGAGGGCCACATTCTAGCCCAAGCAAGCAGAAGAACCTGGCAGCATTGGTCATGTGGTTCTTGCTTTAGAGTTAAAAAAGGATGCAGGAGTATAAGGTGTTGTAGAATCTACCTCCAAGACAAAAGAAAGCCTCTGAGGCCAAACATGTGACAGGGGAGTCCCTGCATGGAGGCCTAAGAGGCCACTGCATGAAACCATGAAAATGAAGCCTGGAATATGTTGGAGACGCCAAGATGTTGGAGATGCCAGAGCCCTGGGATGTCTGCCAAGGAGAGCTGCACACAGGGAGTAGAACCAGCCCTAGAGAGAGAAACGTGTTGCAGTCAAACAAAGCTGGAAGGAGTGGGAAGATGTGAAGAACCACCTAAGCCCTTTGACAAGAACTAGAACTACAGACCATGCCCTGCTAGGTTTCAGGCTTGCTCTGGTCCTGTATTTCCTCCTATTCTTCTCTTTTGGAACGCTAATATATATTCAATGCCATTGTATGTTGGAAGAATGTAATTGCCTTTTGGTATTACAGGTGGTTACAATTAACAGATAGCCTTGAGACTCAAAAGAGGCTTTGGAGTTTGAAACAGCCTTGAGATTCAAAGAGTATGGGGACTTTTGAAGTTGGAAGAAAAGTATTTTGCATTATGATATGGCTACAAGCCTTGTAGACCAGGCTGACCTTGAACTCACAGAGATCAACCTGTTTCTGCCTCCCCAGTGCTGAGATCACAGGCATGCACCACCATACCTGGTTAGGTTCATATATTTGAATTCCTGGTCTCCATCCGGTGGAACTTTTGGGAAGGATTAGGGGGTAGAGCCTTGTTGGAGGAGAAGTGTCATTGGGAGTGGGCTCTGAGGTTCAAAAGCCCAAGCCATTCCCTGTTAGCTCTTTCTTTGCCTCGTGGTTTGTTGTCTCAAGATGTGAGCTCTTAGCTACTGCTTCAGCACTATGCCTGCCTGCCATGCTCCCCACGATGGTCAAAGTTGCCTTGGTCATGGTGATGCTTCACAGCAACTAAAAAGTTACTATGACAGGTCCCTCACTTCATATGCTAATTTTCATTAATTTGGTACATCCTGGTTTAGTAGTATTATAGCTCTTGGGTTCTTCATATAAGTTAGCAGTTTCAATCAGTTGGTTTCAACATACATAATACAAACTACACTGTTTCCCTTTGGCCTTTCTGAAAAGAACAAAAGGAGTGAAGGAGCAGAGGTTTGCGCTGCAAATAATGAATGAATGTACTGCACCTGAAAAATGCTGTATACTATAACATGCTTTCTAATTATGTAATGGCATACATTATTTACCCACTGCTTACCAAAAAATGATAAACACAAAATTAGAAAATAACCATTTAAAACTTACTTAATCAAAGAATAGGGATTTATTTCAAGAATTAACTTGAATATTTTACTGTACATGTGTATAACTATGAATAAACTGAATACACAGCACTTTTGAATAATTACAGTAAGGTGTATGAATTAAAAACAAAGGTCAACAGCTGATTTTCCCATCTTGTAACAGCAGTAAGTACTCTGATCCATGGAGGCAGAACTATTTCCAGTTCTGTATCAGCCATTTTGAAAAATAAGTAGTAGTCATGCCACGATCAAAGCAAACCAAATCATAAAACAAAGTCAGATGCTGGGATGGAGGTACAGTGTGTATAGGGGAGGTGGGAAGAGAGGGATGAGAAGTGGGGGGAGGAGAAAAAGGGAGGGAAGAGGGGTTGACTTCTGTCCACTCAGTGGTAATATATTGACTCAAATGCCACAAAGAGTGAAAAGGGAAACCAGTATTTGGCTAAAGGTAAAGATTTTGAAAAGTCTAATATTTCTGATTTTAGCATTGATGCAACTGTTTATCAGAGGACCCCAGAGTGTAATGTGTTAATAGCCAAAACCTAAACACTGTTAAAATGCTAGCCTTAAACTTTCTTAGTCTATTAATTTATCTATACCATTCTAGTTTATCTAATTTTTAGGTTTAAAACAAATTATTTCATTTAAGTGCTTCAAAATTACTGAAATGTTTCTGGATTATAATTAAAATTTTTGTATTTACCTATTTATTTTGTGTGTATGTGTTGGTCTGTGCAAGTGCAGATGCATCTGTCTGTGTATGGGTGTACCACGTGAGTTCTGGGATCAAGCTCAGACAGACCATCAGGCTTGGTGGCAAGCACCAGCCCTGTAATTTGTTTCTTTATATCTGAAATGCCTCAAAAACATAACTGCATTTCATGTAAAGTTATATCTATTCAAAATACCTAAGATGTAGTTTCTTTGAGCAAAAATAAATCTTCAAATACAAGGAATAAAAGACACCTAAGTCCCCTGTCTACTATATTCTAGATGTCGTTAGGGACTTAGATGACATCTAGAATATAGTAGACAGTGATGTCACCTTGATTTTTGATCTACCAGAGCAGGTGGTGCATTATATACTTTCAACACAACCTAGTTTGGGAAGAATGTGAATGAACTGGAAAGAAAATATCAGTTTTCCCGGATTCTATAAATACACAACTCAATCCATACATCAAGATTTTTTTCTTTCAGCTAATGATACTTAGCCATTTTACATAAATATAAGTTTAATTCCTTTCCTGCTTTCAAAGCATTATTTTTGACAGGCTAATCAGGAAGTATAGATAGTCAGTGGCAGCACTTGGAAACAAAAACAAAAACAAAAACAAAAACAAAAAACACTGTGTACCCAAATGCTTGCTTAAACCATTAAGCACACCCATTTCACTTTCCAAGCCCTCTGCTAGTTGACATTAAAAGACACGGATTTTGATTAATTTACCTTTTTTTAAATCTTCAGTAGATTCTTACTTGACTAAACTCAGTGTAGACTGAGAGGAAGGAGGGAAGCATTCTCTATCCCCAAACTAGCTTCAGGAAGTCTTTCCAAAGACTCCGGTCCTTACTCTCTCCACCTTCCGTATGGAGTAGCAGTCCGCACTGTCACCACATGTTCTTTAACACCAAACCCTTAGCACGGCTACGTCACCCCAACACAGTCCACTGAAACACACATGCTACTGAGACCATTTCTCAGGCCCGGGTTGTGAAACACATTTGGAAATTTTTAATCTAATATTTTATTGCAAATGAATGTATGGATATAACATAACCAAATGCACACTATTCTAAAACTGTAAATGCTAAACCCAAAATCAGCATGACCAAGAAACATCCTGTTCCTTAGAAAGTGTTCACAGTCAGCCACGGAAGGACATGTAAGAGAGTACTGCAATGGCTAAATTTGGTTGTCAAACCTGATAGATCTGGAAAGAGGGCATTTTAATTGAAGAGTTACCTCTATCAGACTGGCCTGTGGGTCTATCAACACAGCATTTCTTGACTGCTAACTGATGTAGAGGCCCAGGACACTGGGCAGTGCCATCTCTGGGAAGGTGGGCCTGGGCTGTTAAGAAGGCCAGTGGAACAAGTCAGCAGTGTTCCTCCAGGCTTCTGCTCCAGTGCCTGCCTCCAGGTTCCTCCTGCACCTTCCCTCACTGGTGGGCTAGCACTGGAAGCTGAATAAAGCCTTTTTCTCCTCCAGTTGGTTTCGGTTAGTGTTTTATCACAGCAACAGAGAGTGAACTAGAACGGAGATCATCCTACCTGAGTGAATCCAAGTTTGATTCGTCTTTGTTTAAAGGTCTTGGCGAACTGCTCAAGCTCCTCAAGGTCACTGGGCTCCTCCAAGCTGGGAGTATCAATTCGCTTTGGTGTCGTCTGGCTCTGTGGAAGGGTCTGAATTGGGGTCGCTGCTATTGTGCGAGTTGGGGTGGCTGGCTGTTGGAGAAGGAACAGAATAATAAAGACACTTCAGCTTATAACTATAGTCCAGGCAACTTAAGGAAACAGATTCACATAAGCTCAAGCCAGACAAAATCCTAGCATGGAGGAGAGAAGATGGGCATAAAGTCCCACCCCTAGCTGAGGATGCTCAGGCTTAATCAGCCAATACAAGCTGGGCTCCATGGGATTTTTTTTTTAATTGTATTTTTTTAAAGATTTATTTATTTTATGCATATGAGTGCTCCATCTGCATATACAACTTTATCCCAGAAGAGGGCATCAGATTCCATTATAGAGGGTTGTGAGCCACCATGTGGTTGCTGGGAATTGAACTCTGGAAGAACAGTCAATGTTCTTAACCACTGATCCATCTCTCCAGCCCTCCATGGGATTTTTTTTTTTGGTTTTTCGAGACAGGGTTTCTCTGTGTAGCTTTGTGCCTTTCCTGGAACTCACTTGGTAGTCCAGGCTGGCCTCGAACTCACAGAGATCCGCCTGGCTCTGCCTCCCGAGTGCTGGGATTAAAGGCGTGCGCCACCACCGCCCGGGATTTTTTAAATTAAAAAAATAGCAAGGAATGCCAGGTGGTGGTGACACATGCCTTTAATCCCAGCACTTGGGAGGCAGAGGCAGGTGGATCTCTGTGAGTTCAATGCTAGCCTGGTCTACAAAGTGAGTTCCAGGACAGCCAGAGAAAGCGTCGCGAAAAATCAAAAAAAGCAAAGAAGAAAGAAAAAGAACATGAATTTGGGTGAGTTTGGCAGTAGGGCAGAAGCTGGGAGGATGAGGAATATGATCAAATACATTGTATGAAATTCATAAATAAATACAAAGAAAAGACTGTCTCAAGAAAACCAAGAACAAAGAAATTACTTTTCTCCTCTACTCTCTCTGCTTCTCTGTCTCTCTCTCTCTTTTTTTTTTTTTAAAGAATGGTTCTTGCCAGGTGGTGGTGGTGCATGCCTTTAATCCCAGCATGCAAGAGGCAAAGGCAGGCGGATCTCTGTGAGTTCGAGGCCAGCCTGGTCTATAGAGCAACATCCAGGACAGGCACCAGCAGCAGCAAAAAGTTCTTTAAGGTAAGTTTATGAAGGACTTTTCTGACAACTCAATAAATACTGTCATATTTCTGATAACAACATGCTATGTCCCAGCACACGACACAGTTCCCGACACAGGACTTGTTTTCTCAGTTAAAACAGTGTTTTGTTCACCAGGGAGTAAATGGTCCGTCACTTCTGACACAATACTTCTCTGACTACTCAAAACAAGACACTTCCCACGTATCAATTCTTACCTGTATTTCCTTGCACTGGACTCTGGTCTCAACCATATATTAATGGTATCTTTATTCTCATTCTTACATTAGGCCAGTTCTTCAAATATTATGGTATATATACCCTTTTCTTATCATATTAGTACAAATAATTCTTTCAATCAGCTTTTAAACTTGTTTCAGTGTGTATAAACTTTAAACTGAAATTCTTGTGAATTTCTCCCCATTGTTACTATCTTGCTTTGAGAAAGAAAACTTTAGTTATTTCTCAGTGTTGAAATCCCTTCTGGTAAAAAGAGAAACTTCTTCCCAATAATATGACCCCTTATTCTCTGCGTTTTAACCTAATTATTTAAATCTCTCTAGAGTTTATTTTGGGGCATGAGGGCCTAGTCCTGTTATCCCACCACCCTACCCCTTGTGCTCAAGACTGAGCCCAGGGTTCTCCTTTCTTTCTTTCTTTCTTTTTTTTTTTTTTTAGTATTTTTATTCTATGTTTGTGCCTCAATGAATGTCTGTGCACCATATGCATGCAGTGCATACAGAGCTAAGAGACAGATGTGTTAGAAATCATACCCATGTCCTCTGAAAGGTAGCCAGAGGATTTGAATACTGAGCCATCCCTCCAGTCCCCTTTCCTTTTTAAAGAAAATATTAAATGTTCTTATCATTCAAACGCCAGGCTACTCTGTTCTACTCACAAGCCTTAAGTAGGGCGTTCCTTCTCAGTATTCACTAAATAGAGGTGCTCCTGATTCTGCATCCTAACTGCTCAGTTGAACCCTCTTATGAACAGCAGCCCAGGTAAGATTATAAACCAGGATTTCCTTCTTGTAATTTAGTGGGCCTTACATTACCTGACCTTGACCTCATTATTAAGGCTTGCTCCATGGGAACTAACTGACCCAGAAAACTATATAAGAGTCATGACATAATAAATGGGGCAAATCCCTCTGCTATCCTGACAATAAAGCATGTCTTCATGACATGCTGACATTGAGTAATTTTAACCTCACCTTTTAGAGGAACTACACATGACACCAAATATATTAGAATCTCATGTTGCTGAACACTGATAGGTGGAGGTGAGTCTCAACTATTAGACTATTATTTCATCTTCAGCATCAAGTAGCCTCTTTGTCAAATAATAATGGACTAAAAGTAGCTTGGGTACCTTTTGACAGCTGGTATCTTACTCTAAAATCCCTGGCTGAAGCGGGCCAGATCTAGAATGGTGGTATAGCATTTACTGATCAGAGTCAAGATGAAGTTTGCTACATGTGCATAGCATAGAGGCCAGAGAGAGGTCTCTGGTGTATGTATGTCACAACACCAATCTTATTTATTTTGCATTCAGCATATTAAAAAACTTAACATTTAAAACTGAGGTATAGTTAGATGCTTTTGCAGCTGAATATAGTTGTGTAACTAACACTATATAGATATCTTTACCATCCTTCCCCAGATTTCTTCTGAACCCTTTGCTATGAATCTTCATTATTGATCCTTACTTCCTGACAAGCACTGACAGGATTTCTACACCATAGTTCTGTCCTTTCTAAAATGTCATGTAAACTAAAATCATACAGGACTTAGTCTTTTAAGCCCAGCTTCTGTCACTTAGCATAAGGCTTTTTGAAATTCATACATGCCACTGTAGTTATCAAAAGTACATTTCTTCTTACTGCTCAATTAGAAATTGGTCACATGGTTATTCAAGAAGTTTACGTAACTTACTATCTGATGAATAGTTTGGGATAATTATTAATTAACCTATTATAAGTATTCATATACATCTTTTTGCTTTCATTTTAAACAGTAAAACTACTGGGTCACAAAGTACATTCATTCATTCGGAGGCAAGCCTCCATAAAGTGTAGCTTTATTTATTTATTTATTTATTTATTTATTTGAAGGCAGGGTTTCTCTGTGGACCTCTGTGGGATTAAAGGCTTGTGCCACCACCCATTGGCTTAATTTGTAAGTAAATGCCAAACTAATTTAGAAAGAGTTAGTACATTTTGCAAAACTACTAGTAATGTATGAGAATCTAGTTGCTTTACTTTCTCATTAATACTTGGTCTCAAATTCTTTATAACTTGTACTCAGTCTACTGAAGGCACATTGATATTTCCTAATAACTACTTGTTTTGAATATATTTTCATTTGCTTACTGAACATCAGCTTTTCTTAATTGGCAAGTGCGTTTTTTTTTTTTTTTTTTTTTTTTTGCTTCTCACTAGCTTAAGTCTGATTGTCTCATGTTATCATTTTTTTTTAAACCATGGTCTGATTGTTCAGTGACTGAGAGTATGCTGCTCTTGAAGAGAACCCAAGTTCAGTTCCCAGCACGTACACCCAGCAGCTCACAGCTGCCTGGACCTCCAGCACCAAGGGATTCAACATGTTCTTTTGGTTTCCCAGAGTACCTGCACAAACACCCTCCCCCCCATCACCAACCGTTAAAAATAAATCTTAAAACAAAATTATTTATCAAAAGTTTTATATGAAGACTGTTTTCTCCTTAACTGTGGTTTTTCCTTCCCATTCTCTTAAGATTTTAATTTTCCTGAAATATATTGTTTCTTCTATGGTTACGGCTTCTTGTGTCTTGTTTAAGAAATCACTGTCTTACCCAATGGCACAAACATTTCTTCCTAAAGTTTATGTTTATGACGCATTTCAAACTAATCTTCATAAAAGGTATGAAAAAAGGGTGGTCTCTACCACCTTTTACTTATAATAATCAATTGTTAGTTATCATTTGTTTCAAAGACTTTCTTTTTCTCGCTGGAATCCTTTGGTACCTTTGGAAACTTAGCTGGCTATTTACATTTCTGTCTATCCGACAGACATACCCCTTGGCTTACATTTCTCTCTCTATGCCAATACCATGTATTCATTATTATGGTTTTGTAATAATTCTTGACATCACAGATGGCATCTAGTTTTCCACTTTTAATAAATTGTTTGGTTACAAGGGGCTAGAGGTAGGGCCCAATGTTTAGTAGCAAGTAACTGGTTACTAAATCTATGTAGTCAAAATAAAACTCCGTCTTTTAAATTATTTTTCTCAGGTATTTGTCACAGTGACCAAAACAACAACAACAAAAAACCCAATAAACAAAAACTAAACCCTTCCAACTGACCAAGATGAAGAATTACTATAAGTGAATATTTAAGCCTGTGAAATTAGGTGATATATTAAGTTTTAATTACTACACTTTTTTCTTTTCATGTTTGTGTATATGCATGTGTGCATACATGTGGATATATGTACATGCATGTAGAGGACAGAGGTTGATCACTCTCCACCCAGAGCTTGCCAACAGGCTAATTTCAATAGCCAGGTTGCTTAGGGAATCCCTCACTGGAACTACGGGTGAGCCACCATGCTCACTTAGCATCAGAACTCTGGTCCTCTGAGCCATTCATTTCTCCTCCCGCAAGGTCTACACTTTAGGAAGGGTCAGACGGGGAAGGGAGGAGGAGTCGAGGTGAGCCACTAAGGATGAGGACGAGGAGGCAAACTGACACACACGGTCACAGTCACCACCAGATAAAGAGACAAACATGCGACTTCAACTCGCAGAGCCTAAGAACTGCGCTTTGTGTGATGACGACTGCTACGTCTACGTCTTCTGAGGAAAGGACACAAAGCAACATTGCAGTCCTGAGAAAATATGAAAATCAAACAAAAATTCTTGTTTCAGCAAGGAAAAGGATCAGTGACAGGTTCTAAGTGAATTCCTAGGTCTTCCATATCAGTGTTTCTATCTATCAACATCAGACAGCTATCATTCATCCCCATTTACTACCAACATGGCTATTCTTTAGGAACTTAAAGAAGGACCATGAAAAACATCAGTCTTCATCAATTTGGTAGCACTGCTTTATTAAGCTAATAAGCCCAGCATTGAGTTTTTGGTCAGAGTTTGAACACCTGAGGTTATTATTACTGGGGGTATTTTTGTTTCATTTTAAATTAGTAAAACAATGGAGTAAGAAACTGACCTGGGAGGTGAGGGTGATGCTTGGCTGTGGTTGTAGGAGGTTGGCTTGGCTTTGCTGAGGTAGTTGCGTTAAAAGATTTTGCGCTTGCAGGAGACCTGTGAAAACCAAATATTTCAGGGGGATAAAAAAGAATATAAACTCAAAGTTTCTGACTGGTTTCCTGGTAGTTTTGTTGGTCTTCAGACTCATCTAATTTCTTTGCCTAAAATTCAATACTGTTGATCACATTAAACACAAGATGGTATGAAAACACGTAACATTAAATCAAAGCTTGTATATCTTTAGTGTAATCTGAATAAGTTCTTTGAGAGGCCTTTATTTCCTAAGAAGAAGAACACGAGAAACAACTCTAAATGAAAGCATATGGAAATTTAAAGATGAGTTCAACTTCTTAACCCAGAGTTCATTAGAATCCTTTAACACAGTGCTTCTCAACCTTCCTAATGTCATGACCCTTTAATACGGTTCCTCATGTTGTGGTGACCCCCCAACCATAAAATGATTTCATTGCTACTTCATAACTGTGATTTTGCTAGTTATGAATCGCAATGTAAGTATCTGATATGCAGGATATCTGATACACGATCCCTGTCAAAGAGACATTTGACCCCCAAAGGGGTTGTGACCCACAGGTAGAGAAATGCTGCTCTAAGGACTGTTGGAACAGGGAATCAGTTTCTGAAAGAAGCAGGCAATCCTATAAGTGGGAGAAGATTGTTTTAAAGTTCTTAGCACATGCCCCTTTAGTGATAACAAAGGGGAAATGTAAACAAATGTTTTCACTAAACAATCTTAGTGGAAAAGTTATTTGTAAGTAGAATGGGTGTGAAGGTGCATGCCGGTAGTCCCAGCTGCTCTGGAGGCTGTGGCAGAAGGGTCACTTGAGCCTCAAAGTTAGAGGTCAGGCTGGACAATTTGTTTCAAACCCCTGGAAGTATTTGTAGTACATAGTCGATTATTTAAGTCTATAGGGTTTTGTTGTTGTTGTTTATTTTTTTGCAATGTTATAAATATAGGGGCAACCCAGAATAAATCTATATTGAAGAACTTAATCTAAATGCTTAGTTTCAAATATAATCATGTTGAAATACTAAATAGAAGGTTGTGACGAGATAGGAGCGGAGGTGGAAATGAGAGAAAGTAAGTTACGGTAGGTTAAATTAACATATCTTTCTGATTTCCTTAGCTACTAAATTTGGAAACGTTAAGACAATAATAAAAAAATTAAACCTGTCAGATTTTATCATTTGTTCGTAAGTAAACATTGCCTAAATTTAAGAAATTAACATTGGTGTTTATTTGACAATGTATATCCCCAATACAACAAATATATTAAATAGATTGGGATTTTCCAGAGAACCTTTCCTTTTATTTGTATTAGGAAGCAACTATGCTAAAACTAAGTAAATTGAATATACATGGTTACAAGCTTCTCTTAAAAGCCAGATTCAGCCGGGCGGTGGTGGCGCACGTCTTTAATCCCAGCACTCGGGAGGCAGAGCCAGGCGGATCTCTGTGAGTTCAAGGCCAGCCTGGGCTACCAAGTGAGTTCCAGGAGAGGCGCAAAGCTACACAGAGAAACCCTGTCTCGAAAAACCAAAAAAAAAAAAAAAAAAAAGCCAGATTCAGAAAAAACAAACAAACAAACAAAAAACCATTCATGTTTAAATGACTACCAAGTATCTATGGTTCAATCTTTAAAAAAAATATATATATATATATATTTTTTTTTTGGTTTTTCGAGACAGGGTTTCTCTGAGTAGCTTTGCGCCTTTCCTGGAACTCACTTGGTAGCCCAGGCTGGCCTTGAACTCACAGAGATCCGCCTGGCTCTGCCTCCCGAGTGCTGGGATTAAAGGCGTGCGCCACCACCGCCCGGCTAAAAAAAATATTTTTAGATTTATTTATTTTATGAGTATGAGAGCCTTGCCTGCATGTATAAATGTGCGGAAGTGCTAGCTCCCCTGGGACTAGAGTTATAGATGGTTGTGAGCTGCCATGTGGGTGTTGGGAGTTGAACCTGGTTCCTCTACAAGAGCAGCCTATGCCGTTAAAAACTGAGCCAACTCTCCATCCCTCTATAAGCTCAAGCTTATAAAGTATTTAAGGTGAGCTCTTTGATTACGTAACAACAGTGAGCCAGGCTTGGTGGTACATGCTTGCAGTCTCAGCATATGGAAGGCTGATGCAAAAGTTCATGATCCACCTGTGCTCCATAGCCAGATCTTGCCACCAAACCAACCTAACACTCCAGTAGCCTTCTATTACATTTAATAGAGTATCTGTTTAGTCCTAGGTAATCTGGTCCTGTGTTACTTGCTTTTTTCTGCTTTATATGTATGTGTGTATAGTTTTCCTCACTGTCTACCTTATTCACTGAAGAACAATCTCCCCACTGAATCCCAGGCTCTCAGATAGACTAGGCTAGCTAAACAGCTTGCTCTGGAGATTGTGTTTCTGTCTTCCAGGCACTGGAATTACAGGTGGAGCCACCGTACTCACTCAGCGTTTATAGGGGTTCTACACATCTGAACATAGGTCTCCATGCTCGCATGGCAACACTTAGCAGTGAGCTGCCTCCCCAGTGCTTGCCTAGGCTCTCCCACTTCACTTCTTACCACCTTCCCTCATTCACTGAACTCCAGCTACACTGGCCTTCCCTTTATTGGTTTAGGGCAGGCTCACTCCCCCAGGTCCTCTGTCTTCTTCACTGCCTGCACAGCCGGTCATCCAGATCCACACCTAGTTACAGCAGTCTCCACCTTACTCAGTCCTCAGTTCAGCCGTCACTCTCCAGACAAGCTTTCTTCAGACCACACACCTATGTTCTACATGTCAACTATTACCAGGTCAGTCAAATCACCCATCTTCCTTGGATATACTGTTATCCAAGTCATTTGTTTATGTTTACTACTGTTTGATTTAAGTAAGTAAGGGGATTTCACCTTGCTGAAATTTTTAACTCCAATAATCAGAGTGACATATGACACTTAGCAGGTACTCAACAGACTGCTAAGCAAATTAACCATAACTGTCGATTTTATGGGTTTGAACACACTCGAAAGTATTGTCTAGTGAGAAAAATAAAATTACATTTTATGTTAATAATCAGAATTAATCTATTAAAATTATTTAGAAAAGAATAAAAACCCAAGAAGATTATAAAATAATGAAAAATGAAACAAAAGAAAATATAAACTCAGATATTTCATCGATGAGTTTCTTTAAAGCTTAACAGGAAAGTTGGATTTTTGTTTCTCTTTGGTAACAGCACTTAAATAATTATATTTAATCAGAAGTGATAATACTGAATGATTAATTTTGGTTCACAGTAGCATCTTCTAAACAAATTGAAACTTTAAGCCACCTTCCCTCTCCTTCTCTGCCAATTAAGGTCAGCTGAGATGCCGAAAAGGCCCGAGAGAGGCCTAGCACTTCTGTGAGGACCAAGTCTTTCTACCAGTCCCTGTCCCAAGTAACAGAGGCCTCAAACACAAAATTCAAGATTTTCTAACAAGAGTGCTGTTTTAGTTTCAAAATTAATGTTGACAGTAGAAAGGGCAGAATACAAGTTGCCATGAAATATGATTCAGAAACCCATCAGTAACAATTGTTCCAAGAAAAATCAACTCTGGAAGAATAGGATTTCTCTTGTTAGTTTTTAAATAGTTATATAATCACAGCAATACTGTCAATTCTTAGATTAACAACATTCCCTCCCTCAAAAAAAAAAAGCAGAAATGATTGCTCAATTGGAGGCTCAACTCACACTAGAAACATTCTTTGTTAAAATCCTAACAAATCAATCCTTATCCCCTCCACACAAAACTAAATTAGACTAAATCAATCACAGTGGCTCTCCTGGAAATGAAGCCCTTTCCTTCATACTGCTGGCCAATCTTATTATATGAAATCTGGACCCTGTCTTATGCTACTAAGATCACAACAACTCAACAGCAGTGGGACACACTGGCTCTAGATTATTCTGCATGCGTGCGTGCGTGTGTGTCTGTGGTGTTGAGTGCACGTGTATATGGGTATGTACACACACGTGCTTACAGAGGCCAGAGGTTTAGGTCAGAAGTCTCTTCATGGGTCCTCATGCTTATGCAAGTGCTTTTCCCACTAAGTCATCGCCTGAGTCCCAATTACTTTCAAGCTGGTTTTTATTATATAAAGGAATAAACTTCATTCTCTAAGTTTTATCTATGGACTGCTGCTGATATTGATATGATGACATCAATGGTAATAGTGGCAAAAATTGAGAGGTTACTCTGCAGAAGGCACATTTTCAGAAAGTACTTTTATGTGTTTCCTAATTGAATCCCTATTAATTTTTGAACGAAAATACTAAAATTATTCTTATACTTCATGTAAAGAAACTGAGGCTCAGGAAAATTATATTTCTTCAGAGACAGCTTGGCTTTAGACTACAGTCTATACTTTTAATTACATTACAGTGGTCTTCCTGACATTAATAAAACATTTTCTATAATTTACTCATAATTAAAGGGGAACATGAAAAGGGTAAATGGGAAGAGGAGAAGTATGTGAAACTCAGCAAACTTAGGCGGCTTGTCCAAAGTGACAGGCTCTAAAGCCAACCAGCATTTTTTATGTGCTGTTTTCCCAACCCTATGAAAGGCTGGAAAGGAAGAAATTAAGAATATACAAACAACAACAAAAAATTAGAATAGCCATTTCTTTCTTAACTATCTTAGACTCAGATATGAAAAAAAAAGTGAAAGACAATAATATCCTTGGGCTTTATAAAACACCTAAAGAACTTAAGGTCTCAACAGTTCCCAATCGACCACACACACACTCTTCAGGTATGGCCTGTCAAAGGCTTTCTGTCTAGACAGATCATTTCCTCCTTTTCTCTTTCATTGTAATCATCACTTTTTACTGGCTCTGACCCACAAACCAGGTATCATCTTCAGACTCTATGCATCCTTGCTATTCCAAATGTTGGTTTTCCTAAAGCGCTCCTATTACCGTGTATACACTCTCTTTAGATGACCGATCTACCAACGCTTATAGTGTCCTAAAAACTTAACCATCTAGATGCCTATTCCTTACAATAACTGGTCACCAAATCCTTTCTTGGTTTTTAGTTTATTCTGAGATAGGGTCTCACTGTGTAAACCAAGCTGTCTTGAGCTCAGAGATCCTCCTGTCTCTGACTGACTCCCAAGTGCTAGGATTAAAGGCAGGTGCCACTGCACTTGGCTCAAGCCCTTTTTTTCTGCTTTATCATTTTCTCTTTTCTGCCCTTACAATCAGAGCTCAGCTTTTTTTTTTTTTTTTTTTTTTTTTGGTTTTTCGAGACAGGGTTTCTCTGTGTAGCTTTGCGCCTTTCCTGGTACTCGCTTTGGAGACCAGGCTGGCCTCGAACTCACAGAGATCCGCCTGGCTCTGCCTCCCGAGTGCTGGGATTAAAGGCGTGCGCCACCACCGCCCGGCCAGAGCTCAGCTTTTATCAATCTCAAAAGAACCTTGCAAAACTCTGCTGACCACTATTACTAATTTTCTTCTTGACTATTCCAAGTTTCAGTGGAAATTAAGCTTCCTTAATACAAATGTCACTTTTCTGCTTAAACCTTTAATTTTTCAATATCCTACAGAAAACTTTATTGGAAGATATCAGACATTCAAATTCAATTCCACAAAGAACTGGTTAAAATCTGGGGAGTAGAACTCAGAACCCACCCTTCTCATTCATCCAATGACTTGCAAATAAGCTGAGCCTTGGGAATGATTAAGCTGCATGATTTCATGTTAAAGTCCTATAAATTTCTTGTGAGATTCTTTAATAAGCTAGCCTTAACTGACCTTTCAGGTCTCAAATTTCATTCTTACTCATATATGTAACCTGTGTTCCTGATTGAAGGCATTACTTATAGTTCTCACGAATACCGGTATTTTGAAACCAAAATTTAACAAAAGCATTGCCCATATGGATACCGTTAGGGCAAAATGCTAGTTAAGGTGTCTGGAACACTAAGTGGACAGCATTGCTGCACCACTAGTAAGCTTTAGGGAGATGCTTACCCTGCTGGCCCTGGGGCGTCTGTGAGATGATAAACTGTGCTGGTTGCAAGTTGGTGGTCGGATGCACCAACACAAACTGTTGCAAGTTGAGATTTTGCTGTTGAAGCTGTTGCAATTGTTGAAGATCCTAAAAGCTCAGAAGCAAAATATAGATCAGAGAGATCCAGAAATGAAAGCTGGCTTAGTTATAAGGTTCCTAGATGATGACCTCCATCATATTGAGTAACAATGAGATAATATTTAGCATTTGTTTTTCATGTCCCGACAGTCTGGCTTCCAGGACTACATCAGTATGTGAGAAATCCTCCGGCCTCAGGCCAGAGAGAGGCTCAGGAGGTAAAAGTGCTGGCTGTGTGAGAGTGAAGACTGAGTTTGGTCTCTAGAGCCCATGGTGGAAGAGGAGAACTGACTCCTGATAACTGTCCTGACTCACACACATACAAAAAGAGCCAATATCAAAACCAAAAAACCTTAGGGCCTCTGCAAGAAGTTATATTTTTGAGGGCATGATGTATAGTATCACGACTTATGCTAAGTCCAATTTTCATTAGTTACTTAAAATCTGTTAGAATAAGTGAATACAAAATAAATGTCTACAGTCCTGGGGGCGGGGCTGTTTTCAATGTCACAACTCTATTATTGTTGTTAGTGTGTGGTGGGTTTGCACATGGCACACACATACGAGGAAGTCAGAAGACAACCCTGGAGTTAATTCTTTACTTCCACCTGCTACCATTTTGAAGGCTAATCTCAGATGTCAATTTCACTACCTCTGGAATCAACTAAAATGCAAGCAGCTACGCATCCCTGTGAGGAATTTTCTTGATTGATCACTTGAAGTGGAAAGACCCTTGCTAAATCTGGGCCACACCTTCTGGTGGCAGCCCATATAAAAGAGCATGGAAGAAGGAAGCGTCTGCTCTTGTCTGCTTGCTCTCACTCTCTCTGGCTAAGTTCATCTCTCCTCTGCTGGTATTAGAACCTACTTCTTAAGGAGTCCAAGGAAGACTAAAGACTAGCTGAGACATCAGCTGCATAGACAGAACAACTACTGGATTCTTGGCCTTTCCTTTGAGAGACAGCCTTTATTGGACTGGCTGGACCATAGCCTGTAAGTTACTCTAATAAATTCCCTTTTAATATGTATTCATTCTGTAAGTTCTGTTCCTTTAGATCTGGTCTAAACAAAGACCAACATGGACTTTAAAAGGCTTTTAAATAGCCAGGTGTCAGTGGCGCAAGCCTTTAATCTCAGCACTTGGTGGGTAGAGGCAGGTAGATCTCTGTGAGTTCAAGGCCAGCCTGGTCTATAGAGTGAGATCCAGGCACCAAAACTACACAGAAAAAACCTGTCTCGAAAAACCAAAAAAAAAAAAAAAAAAAAAAGAGGCTTTTAAATATTTGACCCAATTTTTCTCTATAAAGTAAAAATTGAGAGTGTTATATCCAAATTTCTATCAATAAATTAAAAGATCTAATTCCTGAAATTTGACACCAGCTTATCAAACTCAATTGAGAAATCTGTTAGGTATAAAATGATCTTATTTTTATCAATTTCAGATAAAGTCTCAGATAAGGTTCACTTACTAAAATAATTTATTTGATGAAGAAAATGGTCCAAATCAAAACACTATCGTGATATAGACTGTCCACACAGTAATAAAGGTGAGTCTAATTCTAATCTCAAGTATCTTAAGACTTCTTCATATATGTCATATATAACTTCTCACACCCCCTTTCATTTCCTTGAGACAAAGGATTTCACTTACTTTCCTTTTTGGTCCCATTCTTTACAACTCTTGAAGTAAATTTTTAGTATCTGGATATTTTACTCTAAAATGTGAAAACTGAAACCCTGTAACATTTTTCTGCAGTTCTCCATGGTCCTAACCACTCCACAGCAGAAAGAAGACACTCTGTCTTTCTCAGAGTGGCAACATTTACCGTAGAGCACATGACAGAATTCTTCCCTGCTGTCATTAGCTAATTAAGATAAATACAGTAACCCTTGCTTCATAAATATGCCAGCTACTTACTCAAGAACTGTTGCTTAACATAAACATTCAGTTATCCAATAATCAGCTATATATTTATAATATCAACTCAATAAGTAAACACGTGTACTGTTTCTGACTCAGTGAAGAAGGATGATGCCTCCTTGACCTAGATTCCTTGGGCTTTTGAAGATCCACAGTAACAAGCAAAAGGCTAACAATGTTCAGTCAAGTTTTTCCATGTATCACTTGCTTGCCGTCACTGTGACCTTGGCCTCCTCACCTGTGCAATCTGTATGGGCTGCGACAGGGGGATCTGTGTCATGGGCGTGGCAGCGGAGGCTGAGATGGTGGCCCCAGCAGCATTGTGCTGTTGGCTGGCCGAGTGCTGCTGCACTGCAGCGGCCAGGAGCTGGGCCTGGGCCTGGGCCTGCTGCAGTAGTAGCTGCTGCTGGGCCGCTGTCAAAGTGAGCTAAAAGAAGAACAAACAAGGAAGGCTTGAAGAACAGGGCCTGGAATGCAAGAAAACGGCTTTCACATAGGCAACTCAAGTGGTACTGGGTCCTCACTACTCATTTTCACATTACTAATACGCAGTTAAACTGTTCACCAATGACAAACTACTAGTACTAGCAGAGCATTTAAATTAAAGTAGTAGTCCCCACTTTAGACTCGAAAAATCATTTTGGCAGGAAAGGTAATTAACTACTACACAAGAAAACAAAAAATCAATGCTGACAGGATATGTAAAGAAATTTACACCCAACAGCAAGTGACTAGTCAGATGAGGGACAAAAGGCTGCTGGATATGACCAGGAAGAGAACTGATAAGGCCCAGCTGCTCCTCATTAGCTAGAATCCCCACCATATTTCACCATTTCCATTATGTCTTAAGATGTGACTAAAAAACATGAGCTGTACTTCTTTCCTTTCCAAATCTCCTTCTAGGATCTTCCTTCACCCAATCTTCTGTCATTGAAAAGCATCAGTTTTCAACTTTACGTCCTCTTTCCAACTTATTACCTATAGGAAACCGATGGTAAGAACCACTCTTCTAAATGCAAATGAATCTGAATGCCCAGATTTAATAAAAATCTTCAAGGTACACGAACCTGAAATCCTAAGTGCTTGTTACTATCTTAGACACAAGTGACCAAAACCTGAACCCTTACAGTAAAGCAAGAAATATATTTAGAACAAACCTCAACTTTCATAATATAGTAAGTGTGCTGGGCCTTTCTTTCGATGACATGTTCTGATCAAACAAGTAGGGTAATACCTATATGTCAACAAACAGTCATTTAGCAGTATACCCTGCCTTCTAACCTATCACAATCTAATTTATCCAAACAATTTGTGCATTAGAAACACAAGAACCAAAGCAAATGCAAGTCTTTAGAATGTGTGTATCTAATGTATCTTACATAATACAGGTACATATATGGAATATATATTATAAATAAATGTGCAACAGTTCTTAGAACTGTCCATTGTTCACACTAGCTGAGATTATAAAAAATCCTGAAGGTTGATACGATGTGAATTGATTAGTTTCTTTCTTATCATTCCCCTGACTCACTCTCCTCACAAAAGATAATACATAAGCTTTCAACATTGAAAAATTACACCAAATAATAGCTTGGAACAGAAATCACTAAATAGTTAAAAGTTTAACAGTCATGGAGGACAATTTGTTACCAGTAAAAATAAGTAACATTTACTGAAGGCTACATGCCAAGCACTGTTTTAAGAGCTTTATATAAATTGCAATAGTACTTAAAATAGATATTATTAATACCTCCACTTAGAAGAAGGAAATTTGAGGTACAGGGAGATAAAAGTATAGTCCTTTAGTAATTAGTAATTACACAGCCAGGCTCTAAGACCACATGTTTTATTTTAGGATATTACAAAGTCACTTCAAGAAAATGTTTTTCTTTTAGGGTATTAGTCCACTCTTTTAACTATCCTGCAATAACACAACTCCATTTGAAGTAACACCATTTTTTAATGTGCGTTAAAAAGTTTAGAGCCGGGTGTGGTGTCGTATGCCTTTAATCCCAGCACTGCAGAGGCAGAGGCAAGCAGATCTCTGTGAGTTCAAGGCCAGCCTTGTCTACAGAGTGAGTTCCAGGACAGCCAAAGACAGACACAAGAAACCCAGCCTCGAGAAGCCAAAAGGAAAAAAAAAGAAAAGTTTGCAGTTTACTCTGCAAACATCTGAACATCTGCAGCTGTAACAAAAGAAATCTTGCAAAGTAATGACAAAGGTAACTCTTTTTACAGAGCTTCTGCATCCAGGAAGTCCCTGAAAGATACAATAGTGCCATGCTCTTGGCAGCTGCAGTGAACAGTTTCAATAAGATGCGAACCAACGACCGGCCGTTCAGACACAGAGGACGGTCACGACACTTTTCTCAGGGGGAACTTACCCCCGTTATCTGCCCCCCCGCCAGCATTAGCTGGGTCTGGGGGATGGCTGACTGCACGGAAGGCTGCTGCTGTGAAGGCTGGCTTGGCTGCTGTGGATCCCCCGATTCTTCACTAGATTTGGACTGGAGTGGGGTTGGATAGGAAAGAAAATAAATAGGTGATTAAAAGAAATGTACTTCTAACTCTGAAAATGCAAGAATTATTTAAAATATGTGCTGTTCAATTCTGAGTTTGGGGGCTTTCTCTTTTTCCTCTCTTACCTGTCTTTTCTTTCTACTTACGTACTCTTACAACTTTTTTATTCTAATCTCAGAAAAGTTGCAATTATAAATTTTTAAAAGAAAAACTAAATTGGTCCTCCACAAATCAACAAAACCTTTCACAACCTCAAATCCCCAATTCAGGCAATGAAGAGAAAAGGAAATTATTAGACTCTTCAAACTAACACTCTGACATATACCTTGTGGCCAAGTCTCAAATTTCTTCATATACTATCTTATAGTTCAATTACTTGACCTACAGAACTTTTAATCTACTATTTTAAAAGAACTCTAAATGCAGCATCTTCCACCAAGTAATGTACAAGCTTGAAGGAAAATGATATAGTCAAGAATTTACAGGCCTTAAAGGGCCAGAGAGAAAATTTTTTATGGTAATTAAAACTGGTTATACAGAGTATTAAAATTCTGCATAGATTTGCATATTTTCCACCACCTGTTTGGGAGACTGCAGCAAAGCTAATTAACATAAAAGCTCTGATTAATTCTGCCAGTCATTGAAAGATAATTACAGTGCAGGACTGTAAACATTCTGCACTGGAGATATAGCCTGTTTGCCAACATCTCTCTAAGGGATGTTAAGTTTACCATGGCAACCAAGGCAATTTTCTGCCTCCTCTCCCTCAGAAAGGAGGGTCACATTATCTCCTTTTCTCTTCTTGTTTCCACGAGTTACTAGGTCCATATTCCACAAGGTTTCATAGAATGTTTAATCCAAAATCTTTAGTCTTTAGCAGCACTGAAATCACTCTTCTAGAATACTGTTTTTCCCTCCTGATTGTTTCCTAAACACTACAATGAAAGGCTGACTGAAACGTTAGAGTTGTGCAAAATACTTGAGCCTCAAATCTTCTGTCTGATGGTTTTATAATTTTGACTATCTCACCAACAATGTCTTGCTTATTTTTTTAAATAAAAATTTATTATTATTTTAAATTATGTGTGTGTGTGTGTGTGTGTCTGTCTGTGTGTATGTGCACATACAAGTGTGTAGAAGAGGGTGTCAGATGTCCGGGAGTTGCAGTCACACATGGTTCTGAGAGTCCTGATATGGGAAGTAAACTGGAATCCTCTGTAATTCTTAATCACCAGGCGATGACTCCAGTGCCCTTTAATGTTACTTCTATTTAGATGAGAGAAGAGCACTTACAATGCTACCAATGTCTTTATTTAAATACAAGTAAGCAAAACTGAGTCCCAGGAGGCTGTGACTTGCCAAAGGTCATATACCTAGTTATTGGTACAATGAGACTTCGAAACCCAAGTTCAAAGTTTCATGAAAAATGATAAACAGTCTAGGAAAAAGAAGGATACTTAAGAAGCTATTTGATTTTGTGTTCAGTATGTGTTCCTGAACTTCATTCTAGAATTCTGATAGTGAACTTCATTTGTCCACCTCTGGCTTACATACAGTAGCAGATTAAGGTGATTTTCATTAATGACAATTATTACTATCTGGATTCAGCAATAAAAATATAGCAATAATAAAATTAATAAGTAGTAACAATCCCAAGTAGTTCCTATTCTAAATTATGTGCTCATTACAGAAAATTATGGAAAAATTAATAGAAGATATGACCTCTGTGCTCATATTCCAACTTACCTGAATGTTTAAAGATTGAGCAGCAGCCTGTAAACTTGTCCCAGCGAGCTGGACCTAGGTGGGAAGTAATCAACGGACATAATAATCTAAAACATGTCATTCACCACTAGAGGGTGTCATCAAGAAATATTTCAAATACTAAGTGTATACCACTGTGTTAGAATTGAACATACAAATACATATTTTACGGAGTTAAAACTTCCCATACAAGCTCACAGTTCCCCACACCCTAAATGAAAACTGCAGAAATTTCTTCTAAATTAGCATCATCACCAAATGAGCACTCTCAGGTAAGCCACACTGGCACTGGATGGGTGCTTCTTATTGAAAACTCTATTTGTAGTCATAGTCCGCCTAGGTTCTGAAAACCTAACATACCTTTCATATTGTTTTAAAGAACAGATAAAAACATTCAACATGTACTTTTTTTTATCATTATAAATGAAAAAACTAGTTAAGAGAATCTATCCTATAAGCCATATAGGAAAAAATTTGTCTTAATATTTAATATTCATACTTCAAATCCTAGTCATATTAAAGTAAGGACACACATGCAATTAGAAAGTCATCATTTGGCAACCGTGAGAGCAACCTGATTCAGAAAAGGGTCGTCAACAGATCATTTAACTAATGGGCAAAGCAAGAGTAAGATACTTCTCCACAGATGCTGAGAATTACAAAGGGCACAATAGCAACTTCACAGGGAGGGCTACCTGGCAAGCAAATGATCAGGCTGAACAATTAATGCTACCAGTAACGAAATTGGCCTCGTGTTACAAACACTGTGAAGACTGTATTTCTTATGTTGCAATCCTACCAAAAATGGATAACCTGAATCTAAAAATAAAATCTAATCACAACAAGAAAGCAGACAAGCTCAAATTGAGGAACTTCCTGATTTGTACTCTTAAAAAATGTTAAGTTTTTTAAAAATTAAATATTTATTTATTGAAGGAGTTGGTTGTCTCCGAATAATTTACAATCCTCAAAGGTTAATGTCTAAGAAGGGAGAAGAAAGATTACAGACTGGACTAGAATAAATGGAGACTAAAGCGGAAGGTTGGCAGTGCAAATAATCAGCAGAGAGTATGGGAGTATAGGGATCCAGGCAGCTAGCTGAACACAGATGCAGAACTATGAATCATTACAACTTTGCTTCATTTCAGTGTCCGCCTTTAATCCCAGCATTCAGGAGGCTGAGTCAGGCGGATCTCCGAATTAGAGACCAGCCTGGTCTACAGAGTGAGTTCCACGACAGCCAGGGCTACACAGAGAAACTCTGTCTTGAACCTGCCCCACCCCCCACCCCAAATAACGACGACAATGACAACAACAAAACTCCAAAAAACTTGAGGATAATTCCTAGAATTTCACCTATTTTTAAGTAGAGCAGCTTTTATTAAAAAAGTGGTTTGGTAGTCTAGTGTCATTTTGATGAAAATAGTGGTAAGTAAATTAAATGAACAGAATTCATGTTCTGTTTTAGAGTTGGGGGGGAATCACGTGGTATTGGGTAGTTAAGTTAAAACTCATTTTTTAAATCTGAAACTAAGATGTTAACAGTCAAGCAAGGGTCTGAGTAGTCCCCTACGTGACAATGGTTTTAGGGTAGTGGTAACTGATAATTTACTAGCATCACTCAGCCATCACAGATTCAAGCTCATGCTCATGCACAACATTAACCTAGTATTAGGTGTGTCCCAACAAAATATTCTTTTGTTCACACAGCTGTAGAGTCAACAACTATGCAAAAACTATTAATTCTATATGAATCATTCAGCAGGATGGTTACACATGATTTGAAATAACTTCCCTAGCATTTTATGTCTCCTTTAAAAAGCATTCTCAGCTATGGCTGGGTGAAACAGTCTACCTGGTGGAGATGTCCAAGGAAAGCCTGGGCCTGGGCTGTTGAGATTGCTCCTCCAACAGGCACAGGCTGTTTCTGAAAGTCCAGGCCATTCGTTTGTGTGCCTGGAAAGCAAGCAAAATAACTAGTAAGTGAAATAAATTCAAATGAAGCAAAGGACTCAACTTCCAGTTACCAGCATCCATTAGGAACTTGTTTTGAATAGTCACTTTTCTAAATATCTTCAAAGAGAAGAAAAGAATCAGAAAAATGGAACTAGAACATCATGGAAGAGGAGTCAGTAAAGAGCCAGAATATGGAGAGAAGCGCTATGAAATGCTGTTTTCTGGATATGAAATGCCTAAGGTACTCATGAACTCACAGCATCTGTAGCTGCCTCCTTAAGACCGCCACAAAAATCAAACCAGCCAAAATTCTAGCACAATGGGGAAGTATCATCCAGGCTCCATCCCTTAGTGAGGAGCCACCGGCAGTTAGTAGCTGCTGTAAAAGGGAGAACCAATCTATTTTGAGGGTGTTCCTAATAGGTTTCCTGTGCTCCAGTGGATGACCCCAAACCCATACACATACAGACAACACTAATTGGACTTAGTGGGTCATCCAAACAAAAAACAAACAAAAAAGTCATGAAGTTAAGATGGGGACATGTTAGAAGATATGAGGGGAGCTGAGGGAGGAAAATAGGGAAATATTTTACTATATACATGTATGAAATTCTCTAGAATAAAGAAAATTATAATTAAAAATAAAAGGAAATATAATAAAGAGTTGTGATTTGAATGAAAATGGCCCCCATAGACTCATATATTTGAATACTTGGTGCCATTAAAATTCCATGCCATTCCCTGTTAGCCCTTTCTGCCTCATGGTTGTGGTAGTTGTCTCAGAATGTGAGCTCTCAGCTACTGCTCCAGCACCATGCCTGCCTGCCTGCTGCCATGCTCCCCATCACGATGGTCACGACTCACTCTCTGAAAACTTTATTCAGTAAGTTGCTTTGGTTATGGTGTTTTAGCACAGCACTTGAGAAGCAACTAAGACAAGAGACTTCTCTTCAAAAGGTAGGACAAATATGTAACACCAACAATGCTTAAAAAGCAGGCACAAAAAAAAAAAAAATGACTGACAATCATAAGAGTTACTGAACACCGAAATACAGTGATTGGAGCAACCAGGGCTGAAACTGGCATGGCATTTATGATGGCTTTAAGGAAGAGATTATTTTTACTGTTTGAAAGGATGGTAGAGACTACCCAAGAGAGGGTCCTGGGCTCTCTTTTACTGTCATTCTACTTAGTAATTTACTTAAACACAAGAAATTCACTGGTTACTTTGTGAGGAGCAAGAAGGATTTACTACTGATGCAAAGACTTTAATGAGAGGCAGTCTGATAGTTAAGTCATCCTTTATATAAATAAAATAGTTGTAATAATTTCTTCAATATCAAAGTACAGATTCCTGTATATATCTTTTCTCCTGCCCTTTGATTTTGACACAGGGTCTCACAGAGCCCAGGCTGGCCTCAAACTCATGACTTTCATACCTTAGCTTCCCAAGTGCTGGGAATAAAATGTGTGCCACCACAAGCAGCTTCACTAATTCCAAAACAGTGCCAATGTTCACCATCACATATCCTATTTTCACAGAGTCCATCCAAATGCTATACACTAATCCACATTCAGCTCCTGTTTGAAATGATAGCAAGTTCCTTATAAAGTACAAAGCATCAAATAGTACGAAGACTTATTTCTAGCATCCTGGGTACAGAAGACTACTTCTAATAGAATCAGCATTTAATACTGTTTAATTGATATGCCTTTGCATCTTGAGGAGATGGGATAAAGGTATATGGTAGTTGTACTGTAAATATTTTAATCCATAAAAATATTAGGATGTGTTGGCATCTACAAAACCTTATCTGGCTAAGAAGAGAATGCCTCTCCCAGGCTTAGTGAATACTTAGCATTAAATTGATTCAAACTAATCAACTCTAGAGTGTTCATCCTGTCCTGCCTTGCATTTCCTATCGAAAATCCAATGAAGGTGGTCATCTAAAGTTTTCCCTCCCTTCCGTTTTTTTTTTTAATTTTTTTTATTTTTTTATACTTCTGACTCCTTTTTTCTAGGAGTGTCATGTGTGTCTCCTGCCTCTAGGACCTGTGAGTATAATCAACTTTGCTTTTCTGAGTCTTCACTTTTTTTTTTGTATCTATAACTGACTGACCATCAATACAAGAATAGAAGACATTTAGACAACCACTCAACTATATACAGAAATGCAAGATGCAAAGGCAGATAATTTCTTTAATAGGATAGCTATGACATTGTGAGATGAGTAGAAGAAAGGTATTACAGAGAAACCATTCTTGTTGAACTACACTACAAAGAAAGGTGATCGGATATACACATACAGCCCAACTGAATTTGAGTATGAGATGTTATGAGAAGACAGTGATGCTCAGAGGCAAAACCAGGTAATACTTGGTTTACATGCTTGGGAGAATTGGAACACTGGGAAAAAGAACCAGGAGTTTATTCACTGAGTTCTTGGCCAATGAATCATGTAAGATGATTATTATTAAATACATGAAGGTCATGATCGTTATTAAACACATGAAGGTCTAGAGATGCTGAAACAAACACCAAAGTAGTCTGGAATGCCTCAAGAAATGACAGGCCAGGGTCAAAGATTCTGTAGAATATTATTACCAAGCTGAGTCTTTGTAGCCTTGCAGCCAAAGCTATCTAATAACGCATACAGAGAAAAACAGGTTGAAGACAAACAGGCAATTAGAAAGCAAGGAGGTAGGGAATCCTTATCCTAGTGTCTCCAAGAGCTAAGGGAAGGATAGGGTAGTTTAATCTGTCAAATGCTACAGAAAGAGATCAAAGCACTGAGAAACAAATACATCTGAAGAAAATACAAGACTGATAAAAGTAGGACCAGTACTTAATGAAACTGGGAAAACAACACACAGCAGAAAAATATCAGCTTGATTCTTTCAAAGGAATCATACAAATATTAAGTTTCTGGGCCGGGTGGTGGTGGCGGTGGCGGCGGCGGCGGCGGCGGCGGCGGCGGCGGCGGCGGCGGCGGCGGCGGCGGCGGCGCACGCCTTTAATCCCAGCACTTGGGAGGCAGAGTCAGGCCGATGTCTGTGAGTTCAAGGCCAGCAGCCTGGGCTACAGAGTGAGTTCCAGGAAAGGTGCAAAGCTACACAGAGAAACCCTGTCTTGAAAAACCAAAAAGGAAAAAAAACAAACATAAGTTTCTGGCAAGATGAAGCAAGAGAACTGAGAGGAAGCAAGCAAACCATTTAAGGACCGCAGAAAAGATGTCACCACTGCTACATTTGCTCTGCAGGCCTAAAGACCCGAGTTTGGCTCCCCAGAAGCCACCTAAAAACCAGACATAGTAGCACATGTCTGTAACCCTGATAGAAGGAGGAGGCACAGCAAGAATCCTTGGAAGCTTGTAGGCCAGCTATCATGATATGACCACGGTTGAACAAGAGACCCCTTCTCCAACATGGTTGGAGCTAGCGACTGTCACCTGAGGCTGCCCTCTGACTCCACACATGTATGCATACACAGATAATAACAACAGGACTTCATAAACTACTTCACATTAATAAAATTTAAACTCAGAAATGGATAACTCTCCAGAAAACAGAATTAATCAAGACTGACTCTAGAAGAAATAGAAAATGTAAGAGTCTCACAACATTTAAAGAAACTGAATTAGTAGGTAAACAAACAAACAAAAAACTGCCCCAAAGAGAACACAATGCCTAGATAACTTTACCAAGGAATGGTTCCAAAAATTCAATGAATAATTAACACATTTTCCCAGAGAACAGTAACAACAAAACAAAACATGAAAACACATCCCATCTCATTTACTGAAGTCAGCGTAACCTAGATACCATAACCTGGCAAAGATAAGTATAAAAAAGAAAATACATGCCAGTTTCATTCATAAACATAGTCACCCGGAGAAAATACAGACAGAAAAAGAAAAAATACTTGAGAATCTAGAACAAAGGCTGTGACAGAGATGAGCCCAAGTACAGCACCAGGTACAGGGCACAGGCCCAGCTGAGGGATACGTGGATTTCTGTGAAGTTAAGATCCTTGTCTCTCCAGTTCTCGCTTCAGAGCCAGCAAGGAAGGACCAACAATGTACAAAAGTTTCCTCCCCATATCAGCAGACCACAGCACTAACCTCTGCACTGCATTTCAGCATCTTATTGTTTTCAGTTGCTTGACCACTTTGCCTCTTGTTCCTCTTGCTTTGAATACAGAAGCAATACATCTATATCTCTCTTGACTACAAAACTACGTTTTGTACTTCTCTAAAATTCGGTGGGCAGCAGGAGAAATAAAACCGAGCCAACAAACACACAATACAGATGAATCTCCAGCCTGCATGCCTGGTTAAGAAGAGAGACTCCAAGGCTACAGTTCAGTGCTTTTATTTATATGACATTTAGAAACAGGCAAAACTGAAAAGGGCCATTAAAAAAATAAGTGATTGACCTTGCTTTATAAATAAGAGGAAAATACATAGAAATATTTCCACTATATAACTACATAGTAACTAAATTCAGACTGTGATTAAGTCTTTCTACCCCTCTGCCTCACATTCTCTCCCAGATGTTCTGTTATCCTATTACCAAGGAATCCAATGCATATTTGCAAAAATACTACCTAAGTCATTAACCAATAACTGGAGCAAACTGGGGCCATTACGAGACATAAGGTGTCAGAAATGGGGGCCTTTTGAGTCTATATCAGAGGTTATCCCATTTACACTAACTACTTCTTGAGGGTTTATTTACTTTTTATTTACTGTGTATGAGTATACGGACATATGCATGCATGGATATATATCTACCCCATACATGCAGTACCCACAGAGGCCAGCAAAGGGAGTTGGATCACATAAATGAACACAACCCTAGAGTTTGATAGCCCTTAGCCTGAGTTCTAGGAGGGAATCCAACTTCTGGGGCAACCCAGCTGCCAGTCATTGCTGTAGAATCCCCAAACTCTGAAGCTCCAGAGGTTTGATACCCACAACTGCATGCTTACAACAAGTGAT